AAAATAAATAAATAAATAAATAAAATCATAGTGATATTGGGAGGAGAAGAATGACTCTGTGAACACCATCACCCCCTACCCTGCTACTTGCCTGGGTAAGGCTCATATACACCTTAGCAGGTAATAAGATCTGGGGTTGCATAAGACCTATGATTGGTGACTCAAAAATATGACTCAATTCAATTCTATTTTGCTCAAAAAAAGAATCAATTCCCTTTCATTGTAGAAAGCACCACAAAATACAAGAGATCCAAGGACATGAGCAAACCACTTATTTTTGTAGCCAACACACATAGAGGGTCATTGTTCTACACTAACTTGAGGGGAAAAAAACACAACTGTACTCTTCAAAACAGAGTGTTCAGACTCAATTTTAGAGATAGAAAGCCTTTAAAAACTACAGTCATATACTTTATATATGAGAAAGCTGCCATCAAAAAAGTTTCTTTTACTATATGCATTTTTAATATTTATTGTGAGATACTACCTAGTTGAGAGATTATACTGCATGTCTCCTCCAGCTGGCAGACTGGTACTTATCACATTCATTTTCTCAAGACATTCTTAATGAGAAAATGAATGAATGAATCACACATTAGTAACTAGAGGACCTGGAATTAGAACCCCCACTATGACTTCCCATTATGTACTCCTAGGTGCGACCAGAACATTCATGAAAGTAGCGAGGAAAACTCAAGCAGGTCTTAGATTAGCTCCCAAGTGGTCAGCTCCTAAGCAATCGATTTAAGCCCACATGGAGAAAATAAATGCAGCCCTCTGGCACCAGCACATGAAGGACGTTCCATTTTTTCATGGTGTCTCTGGATCAGTCCCTTCCTGGCAATGATAATAACCTTACAGATGCCTTATACAAGAGATCTTCACCTCTAGTAGCCCCTTAAACTGCTCCTACTTCATTGCCTCTTTGTTTTAGAGTCAAGGTATGCAGACCTTGGAACCAAAATTTTACCAATCTGTACAATGGAGTAATGAGTGAAGAAGTCTCTCATCTACTCTTGAGGTACAAGAAAGAAAGGCAAAATGTCATTACATAGAAGTATCCTGGCTCATAGTACCCGAAGACTACTAAATGTCAAAATTCCATTTCTAACCAAATTTCCCTCCTGGATCTAGATACTACCGTATTCACCAATGATAAAATATCAATTGACATATAGGTCTTTCAGATACTGATCAGCCTATTTCAACCCATATGCCTCATCTAAACTATAAAACACAAAAAATTATTCCAGTGACTTTCTTCTCAGTTCTCTCAAGAGGTTACCTAACTTGAACCTGTATTCATAGGAGAGAAAGTGATCCATTACATACAGTGGGTGCTGTCAGTCATTAGGGCTTGATTCTTTCAGGAAACACTGGCTGTGAAACACAGTAGAGTAAGCTAATATATCTATAAGTCATGAACATATCAAAATTGTTCTTACTATGCCTGCGTAGAAGTGCATGTACATACACACACATATACACACATTTTTACAAAGGCCTCTTTTTATGAGCTCTTAAAAATAAAAGTTGACTTATTACCTCCAATGTTTTGTCAGAGATAAACATTCATTTTTATTTTATGTAATGCAAAGGCATTCTTTTTCTCTATTTGAAAAACATAACAAGAAAGTCAGTAAATCTTTTGTAGATATGCAAATTGAAACTCAAACAAAAATAGACTGCTGGAATGTTTGTAATGAAGAACATCAAGTGGATTTTATAGGCAAGTTAGACCAAAGTGCATCCCTCAGAAGTAACCGGGTAATTATTTCCTTCTTTTAGTTAATCAACAAGTAATAGTTCTAGAGCATCACCCTCGTAAATGGCCTGGGAGGACATGGCAAAGAAAAAGCACTGTGCATATTTTGCCAACTGATGGCTAATGTCTTTTGCCTTTGCTTACATTCCCCATTGAAATCTCTTGTGTAAAACAGAAGTCTGTGATTTGTTTCTTTGGGTCACTGTTTCCTTTTGGTCACCAGTTTGCGGTTAGAAAATCACTTTATAGTTGGTAAAATAAAGCAGAGTTTAAGAAGGAAATTACCCTTATAGATTGCCTGGCAAGAGCCAGGTATGGTGCCATGTATTTTACACATAATCTCATCTAAGGTAAGTGGTTTTATTCTTTCCCTTTTAAAGATTAAAAATATGAGACTCAGATTTTTTGAGAACTGGGTTTCAAACAGATTTCTATGGCTCAAACATTCAGAATTGTTCTAGGATTCAGCATATCTTCCTCCAACGATGACTAGAAAATAAATTAGGACATTTTAATTTTATACTTATATCCCCTATTCAGCAGACACAATTTTTGTCAAAATATGATCACCTTTCATTTACCCTAGATATAAGATTTAAAAAAGTTGGAAGCAGCAAGATAAAGAGATTAAAATGCCTAGTGATTCTGTATACCTGACCTTCTTGTCATGACTGATTCAAATGTACTAGTATTCCCAAAGAACTGGTGTGCCATGTTTCCCAAGAAAAAAAGGTCAACACTCAGAAAACAGAAGCACCAGTGTCCTTAGAACCCTGTGGTGAGGGAAACAGATACCGCGAATATAGTCTGATGATTTAATTTCGTCCTTTTATTCTCAGATTATAGTGAGTACATGAGGTTGGCCCAGAATTACTTCCTGCCTTTCTTCATTTGAAAATGTCACTTTCCCTGATGGTCTATAATTAGGTTCTCAAAAATTATAAAACATGTCCTCAAGTCTCAGCTAGAACAAATGTCTGAGTTCACGGTTGTGCAGAGTTGAACTTATAGAAAATCTACTGTCCCCTGCTTTGGGTCTTCTCTTTGGACATGGAGCCTGCTGTTAGGAAAGGGAGGACAGTAATGAAAGCATTTTCTTTGGTCCGAAAGCACCAAGCAGAGGTACTTTAAGAAAAGGGAAAAGTCATTCTGCTAAGCCTCATTCAACCAAACATTAATATTTATTAACATACTCTGATGTAGAATGAATGTTTTATGATAAAAAATGAATAACAACAAAATGGGAATTTCAACCACAAGTGACCTACTCTTCCACTGATGAAGAGCTCAGGATGGAGTTAGCCAGCCATTGTCTCTGTATGTGGGCGGGGACTCTCATTCAGTAATGCAGAGGAAGTAATTGAATACCACTCCATGTGATTACTGGAAACACTACTCAAAACGTTCTGGGCTTTTATCAAAAAGAACCAACTGAAATGAAGCAGTGAATTAATGTTATGTTAATGCTACATAAACAAATAGGACAAACATTAAAAGAAACAAAAGAAATGCAGGATATTTCACAAGCTCAGAATTATACATTTTAACTTCAGATTAGATAAAACCCCAAACGATTCAGAAAAGAGAGGCCTTCCCCCCCCACACACACATTTTGAACAAAAGCATATCTGTTTCAAGTTGTCCTATTCATTCATTTACTATTTATTGAATAGATTGTGATTTCTAGACACATAGAAATGTGACACTTCAAAATAAGCATCAGGTATAAAAAAAAAATGACTTGTGTGAGATCTTTACTATTGCAGACTCTCTTTGTTAAGTTAGTTTGTAATTCTTTTTAACAAACCACTCAATCTTACTGCCCTTTTCTCATGGTGAGTTATTACATATTGAATAACATTTCACCTTTATAAGTAAGGTACACACTGCACAAAGGCACAGAAATAGTGACACCATGGTTTATATTTCTGCCTGTCCATTTCAAAGATTCAGTGCAGGGAAAACGTAATGGCACCATGTGACAGTGAACTGGTTGAGTCTTCCTTCTCATGGTCTTGAGAAAAGTTTCTATGTAAGTACTTTAGCAATAGATTTTCAGCAATGTTGTTTTCATTGTGTGCAGGCAACGTGGAAAGGGAGATTGAGCATAAATTTGGAATCAGACAGGCCTGGGTGTGAATTCTAGTTCTATGTGCAGCGAACTCTTGAAAAATCTACTTTACCTGTTTCTTCATCTACAAAGTAAATACAACACCCTCTAACTTGTCAGATTTTTGCAAGGAATATAGATAATGTAAGTAAAGCAACAAACTCACAATAGGTTTTGCTTTCCTTTTATATAAAAAATCTGAAAGGCCACACTAAGAATTGTTCTTTTTTAAGAAGTGTAATTCACCGTGAAATTAAAATAATGGCAACAACAAAAGTATAACAGTTATGCCAAGACCGGTTTGGCTCAGTGGATAGAGTGTCAGCCTGCAGACTGATGGGTCCCGGATTCAATTCCGGTCAAGGGCATGTACATTGGTTGCGGGCACATCCCCAGTAGGGGGTATGCAGCAGGCAACTGGTCGATGTTTCTCTCTCATTGATGTTTCTAGCTCTCTATCCTTCTTCCTTCCTCTCTGTAAGAAATCAATAATATATATATATATATTTTTAAATACAACAGTTATGATCATTTTGAGACTGATTCATATTCATCTCATGAGGCAGTTATTTTACATTCAATGTTTATTTCCACTTAAATAAGATGTTGAATAAGAACAGTGTTGATCTAAAATAATAGAATTTCAGATTATTGAATAGGCTTGACAGAAAAATTCACTTCCCCAACCCCCAGCTTTCACCATGTCCAGAGTCATCATTGCTCTGCTGTGTCTATTGGGGTATGCACATGATAGAGAAGAGAAAGCAAGAAACAAAAACCTAAATTTAAAAATTATTTTTAGTTCCTCAACAAATAACAGATCAACCTCAAAATGAAACAATCCTTCATGTGCCAATTTCTGTGTACAACAAAAGCATAAACTCTAGTTCTGTGTGCATTTAGTAAATAAATAAATACATAATTCTTTCAGCATAAAATTGCTTCACACAGAACATTCACCACAAATCTTGCTTCTATCCCAACCAGTATTAGGAAGAGGAAGTAGACTGTGCTTTCCCTGTACCAAAGGATTGGTTTTTCTTCTCTCTCTCTCTCTGCCTATTTCTCCTTTTAAAATGTGGCTCTTTTCTCTGACTTCTGCCTCTTCCCTTTGAAATCTTACAGGTTGTCCGGCCATATCAGACTATGTCCAATCCCATGAGCAAGCTCACTGTTCTCAACAGCATGCATTCCCACTTCATTCTGGCTGACAATGGGACCACCGGGAAATATGGAGCAGAGGTGAAACTCAGGAGACAGCTGGAAAAGCATATTTCACTCCAGAAGATAAATACAAGTAAGTAGCTGCTTTTCCCACTCTCATGCCTCCTCGGAAGTGTGTTGGAAGTGAATAACTTCAAGTACACCTTGCAGAAATACTATTAAAACTTAAGCAAGTCTCAAACATGGATCCTTATGATTTCTACGGGGCCAGTGGTTAGAATGAGAGGAAGTTGTCTAGAGGAGGACAGTCGGAGGCCTAAGAAAGGATCACCCACTTGATTAGCGGACTCCATCTCATTTATCACGCATGGAAAGTTTAGCCCCTTCTGGGGTTTGTGGATGCAGATGAGCTTTTCTCTTCTAACTTTTCCTACATCTTTTACACAAAATGTTCTTAAGAAGGAAAGGCACCTCAGGGAAATTGTTTCTATTTATTACACTATTTTGATAGCTAGAAAAAAAATTTGACTTTGATCTTAGCACAGATATGGCTGTGCAAAGGAATTTCAAGGGAACTGACATTATTTAAACTAAAACATCATGTGTAACCATCTTGATGAAACTTAAATTCTGTCTCATAAGTATTCATTCATGGTTCTTGATACGTATGTATTTAGATATATGTATACCACATGATATGTATCCAATGGTTACACTAAAGTTCTCTCTTCTGTATTTATGTGTTCTATGCTTTATTGTGCACACATTTGTTTTAACTGTGAAGGGTAGCATTGTAACAACAGCATGGCTCACCCGCTCACAAAGTGACTGGCATTTCAATGTGATAGAGAGGAATGAAAATAATCTGTCTCTTCTCAGAAAATAAAATTCAAATTGTTTTCTCAAATTAACATGAGGCTTCTCTGCAAGCTCAGACTTTGTAGTCATCCATTGTATATCCCATCAGGAAAATGTGGATTGAATTGATTGAACTTTTCAAAGTCTGCAATTCCAAATAAGAAAAAAGTTCTCTCTGGCTGGATAAGTTCTCAAAAGTTCAGTATATTGTGATTCAACTTGTCCAAATGGCTTTTCTCTTCTCTAGCCTTTTCTCTGCATCTGTCGCAAGTGGGATCTCCTTGCTATAACCACCTTTCTCCCAGGACTGGGATGTTCAACCTAGGAGACCACAACTACTTCTTCTTATTCTCTCCTTTCTGGTTTTACTTTTGAGGAACTGCTGCTATTTAGGCAGTTGGCTTTCATACCTTCATCTTTTTCATAGGGAAGTATAGAACAATAAATTTTGGTGTAAGCCATCAAAATTGTATTAGTAAACTCCCTTCTATCTAAGAATCCTCAACTGTCTTTGGAAAGGGAAAACATGGCATTATCCTGAAGGAAATGTCTTTTGGGGGGGGAAAAAGAGAGAGAGAGAGAGAGAGAGAGAGAGAGAGAGAGAGAGAGAGAGAGAGAGTGTTGTGTAAACTAGTGTTCTCTGTTTAAGTTTTTTATAGGCTGTAGCCTTACTTTGTTTTTACGTCCTCAGATTAAGGATGAGAGCCTACCTGGGAGTGATCTGAAAGCTGAAGAGTGGGGAGCAGGGTGGACAAGAAGCAAACTCACTCAAGTTTGGCTCAGTAATGAGACAGAATCTGTCCAGACGAGCCAATCGTGTCATTATGTCAGCCCTCAATGGCAGCTGAGATGGTCAGTCAGCAGTGTTAGGAGGAGAGGTAGGAGTGATTGTATAAATTATACAACCAACTAAGGGATGCCTGCCCCGAATTAAAACCTATCCAGGTGTCTCACAGGCTGCCTGAGGAAAGGATGTTCTATCCTAATTAGCCAGCCCCTAATTTAGTCTCCTGAAAATTAGACTCTATGCTGTCATTCACTTTATCACTGTACCACAAAAATACTGTCCCCCACCCATCACACTCAGAGTTTCCAAATATACACTCAGCATTTCTTCATTAAGTGTCAGTCCTCCTCACTGCTTATGGGTGACCTGCATGCCACAGTAACCTTTCAACAAGTCTATTTTCTTACATAATGATAGAATCTTCTGAAGAGTATTTTCCTTAAATATTAAGTGAACCCTGCTCAGGAGACCTTTAACCCCTTTTTGGTTAACCTGCCAGTTGTATGTAATAGCATGTTACAAACACAGTGTCTGCCATATGTATACTACGCTGGCCTCTCATCTCTCCCTCCCTCCACTCCTTGCTGTTGCCAACAGTCTGTCCTGAGTTTCATCATTGGTCATTGTAGGGCTTTGTTTTTAAAGGAGAATCCTTTCAAATGTGAGTGGTTGTCTGCTTTGGAACATTCTTCTATTTTCAATTTTCTAAACATCACATTTAACATGCAAAGCCTCAAACCATCCCAATCCTGCTTTTAGTAAACAAGTATTTCTTGAATTCTTATTATGTACCAATTGTGGTTAAGGTCAATAATAACAGGAGTAGACATCTCATTGAGCTTAAGTCAAGAGGGGAAAAGGAGTAATAAGTAAATGAGTAAACGCGTAAATATATGATGCTTGGTAATAAAAAGCACTAATAAGAAAAAATAAAGCAGAAAGTTATGTGCATGTGTATATGTGTGCATATGTGTGTGTGCATGTATGCATGTGTGTTGGGGGGATAATGTAGATTAGGTGGTCAGGAATGGCCTCTATGAGGAGGTGTTGTGTAAGTAGAGACCTGAAATTAGGGAGCCAGTTGTGGAAAGAGCATTCTGGGGAGAATGAAAGCAGGGACAAAGGCCCCAGGTGTTCAGTGAAGAACAAGAAGACCTGTGTAAGGAGTTGGATTTTATTCTAACAGAACTTGGATCTGATAAGTTACAGGAGCTCCCTTATGCTGAAACCAGTTTGGCTTAGTGGATAGAGCATCGGCCTGTGGACTGAAGGGTCCCAGGTTTGATTCTGGTCAAGGGCCATATACATTGGTTGCGGGCACATCCTCAGTGGGAGGTGTGCAGGAGGCAGCTGATCGATGTTTCTCTCACATCGATGTTTCTAACTGTCAATCCCTCTCCCTTCCTCTCTGTAAAAAATCAATAGAATATATTTTTTAAATAATAATAATAAAATAAAAATAAAAGACCAGATTGAGGTACAGAGAGTTATCAAAAGAGACCTGATTAAGTGAGTTATCAAAAGTGACCCAAACCTTTAGTTAGTATTGCCAAACATCACATATACTAAGCTTGAACTAAAATAAGCACAGGTCCATAATAAACAATATCTCCTACTTATTTTGTTGATATTCACATATTCATACAAGCTGAATCAACTTAGCACATTCCCATCCACCAATGTGTATGTGTAAATACACACACACACACACACACACACACACACACACACTAGAGGCCCACTGCACAAATTCGTGCACTAGTGGGATCCCTCAGCCTGGCCTGCGGGATCAGCCAAAAGCTACTCTCCAATATCCCCCAGCGGATCCCAGATTGTGAGAGGGCACAGGCCAGGCCAAGGGACCCCACCAGTGCATGATCAGGGTCAGAGAGGGACACAGGAGGTTGGCCAGCTGGGGAGGGATCGCAGGAGGGCTCCAAGATTTGACTGGCCCATCTCACTCAGTCCCTATCAGCTGAATCCCAGCAGCATTCTAACCTACTGCTCAGAGCATCTGCCTCCTGATGGTCAATGCATGTCATAGTGACTGGTTGACCAGTCAACTGTCTGCCCCTTGGTGGTCAATGCACATTATAGTGAGCCATTGAGCCACCTTAGCAAATCATTAGCATATTATGCTTTGATTGGTTGAACGAACAACCAGATGACTGGACACTTAGCATATTAGGCTTTTATTATATAGGATATATATTATACACACACACACACACACACACACACACACATATATGCATTCTCAAAATAATTTTGAAGGAAATTCAGACATTCATAAATTTTTCATTATATTTCATTATCATAAATATTAAAATATTATTTCATTCTAAAATGTAACCAGAAAATTTGACAATAATCTTTTCAAGTCCTAGTTCTATTCTTAGCAGGCCAAAAGCCTTTTAAATATCATCCAGCAATTCTTAAAAAGGAAGATTAGAAAATTCCCAGAAATTGTGGCTTTTTATCAAGACTTATACAGAGGGAAGAATATAACATTTGGGAAAAGAGACGACCTTTGTTTATCACCAGTGACAATAGCTGCCATTGGCAGGGAAACCTGGAAGTTCAGATCATCACGGCTGTGACCTTAGACAAATTACTGTATTTCTCTTAGATTTTGTTCTGCAACTGTGAACCAGCGACAGCGTTCCCTCACAGTGTTGTAATTAAATGAATCAGCTCGTGAAGGATCTGTCATGTGGCACTTAAGAAAGATTGGGTGCCTTCCTCACTTCAGGGCACTGTGGTCCCCCGGCCGGAAGCCATGTCCCATGTTTATATGGCCTGACTGCCATAAGTGTCAACCGGCAGTTGGACATCCCCTGAGGGGTCCCAGATTGGGGAGGGTGCAGGCTGGGCTGAGGGATTAGTGCCCCATCCCCAATGCAAGAATTTCATGCACTGGACCTCTAATACTAAAATAAAATACAAAGGTCATCTCTGTGAGCTGACACAACTAATTTAAAGCATTTCATTTCAGTGAAATCTCCATAATTAGAAAGAAGTACTCATGACTGCATCATTTATACCCTAGCTCCCTTACCACCATTTTTTGGTGATAATTCTTAAACATGGCTGTAGTAATCCTCCACTAGGTTGACACTGCCTCCTCTAGGAGACATTTAAAAATACCAGTGGGATTTGGGATTGACACAATTTCAGGTGCTCCCGAATGGCACTGGAGAGGAAGCGGGAATGTTGATGTTCTACCACGTGCAGGGCAGTTTCACATGAAGAATCACCTGGCCCAAATGTCAATCATATGCCTTGGGAATCACTGCTCTGACTCTGTCTGTTGCCTTGAGTTTTCTATTTGTTTTTTTTTTGTTTGTTTGTTTGTTTTTGTTTTTTCAAAAAAATATATTTCTACTTGCTGATTCAGCAGGAACACACATTTCCAAGGTAAAATACTTGCAAAGTCTTTACTTACTACTAACAAGCAGCAGTAGCGAACCATGGTGAGATTCAAAATA